TGGGATCATCTGCTTCAGTTTCCAATTATGAAATGGAATATCTCCGACTTGCCCGTAGTGAAACCCATATTGTGCTTTTTAGCCCATTCCTTGTGTGGATTTTAATTATCCCCCTCTTGGTCAGGGGTATTTAATCAAGTGGGTGGGTGATGGTTGGGATTTCTGTTACTAAAGCGTGTCCAGAATTGCGTAGAGCCCTTAAATTGGCATTTTCATGTCACGGCTGCTATTACCCATTGGTGTGTGTGTGTATGTGTGTGTAAGTACCCGGTTTATTAGAAGGTTAGATCTTTGTACTTTCATACTTAAAACTCTGCTCATCAGCTTTACATGTTTGTTAAATAAATTGTTGTTTTATCCTGAACCTAATGTAGAAAAGGTTGATAATTGGTCATATCGGTCATGGTTCTATTGAATGCTAGAACAGACCTGAAGGGCCAAATGGCCTACTCCTCTTTCTAAAACCTTTGTCCCTTTGAAAGAAACTGATGGGATAGCTAAAGAAAGAAGATACCCACTGCTAGGAAGTCTAAGGCAAGAGAGTATAATCTTAAAATCAGAACCAAGCTATTCAGGGCAGATGTCAGGAAGTTCTTCTTCCAAGTGTAGAACAAACTCCCAAAAAAAGAAGCAAGTTGATGCCTGTTATTCATATTTGTAAATGAAGATTGTTAATATTTTGTCACCAATGGCGTTAAGGTAAATGGAGATGAATAAATGGAATTGAGAGTCAGATGAGCCATGTTCCCATTGAATGATGGAACAGGTCCAAGGTGCTGAATGGCTTCCTCCTATTTCTTTATTCAGACTAATGAAACATAGCTCTGAAAAGGATCTAAGCAAAGCATGATCAGCCAAATTATAATGTCATTTGCAGTAGGTACATTGATAGTACAAGACTGTCCTAATCAGTAATCTTAAAATAGGCCAGAGTACAGAAGACTGTTTGAGTGCTATCCCTACAACTGTACCAAACATGCAGCACTTTCCAACAATGGGTGCAGTGTCTCACCAAGATACTTCAACAGCACCCTCAATAACCTACCGTCCCTAACAGAGCTGGAGTAATACTATCAAAGGATCATCACATCCGTGTACCTCTCTACATTTCACACAATCCCAAATTTAGAAGCACATCCTCACTGCTGAAACAAAATCATGAATTTCTGACCCAACACCACTGTGGGAATACCATCAGCATGAGGACTTCAGCAGTTCAAGAAAACAGTCCATCAACAAACCTCTTAGGGAAATACACATAACAATTAATGCAGTTTGACCCTTGCCACCATGAATCCTAACCCCAAACTACTTCAAACACTTTGAACTCTTAAACAAGAATTGTGCTTTTGTACAAAAAAAAATCCTGAGAATAGAATTCATTGACTGCTGGAAGGTCCTGTGTGGATTCATGGAATGTTACAACTTCAGGGCATCAGGGAAACTTCAGACTTAAAAGGAAGCCATGCAAGGCAAAAACTGATTACCTCTCTCAGCAGGGTTATATCCCAGACTGTGGATGAGTCTAAAGACATGCTTATGTTTTCCTCTCAGGAATGCACAATAACAGGGGTCAAAATTCCAGGCAACCCTAATCTCAGTGTGCTAGTGAGCTGATGTACAAGTGTGGCCCAGTGTGCTGTGAAGGTCACAGTTTGAGGACAGCCATTAGACACCCCTGCGATGCAGGTAAAATAGATCTCTCTTAATCTAGCTGGGCTGGAAGCCAGGCCGACCACTAAAATGAAGAAACAGGACAAAAACCTGTCAGCAAACTTGAAAAGCCAAATATCTCAAGGTGAACTGCTTCACTACCATATCGTAAACAAAAGCAAAAATTGCTGGAAAATCTCAGCAGGTCTGACAGCACCTGTGGAGAGGCATCATAGTTAACATTTCGAGTCGAGTGACCCTTCCTCATAACTAATGGTAGCCATGAAAATGTCAGTGCGGGGGGCAGGGGGTGGGGATAGAGCCGAAAGCGATCCTAAAGAACAATTGGACAGACTACTGTATCGGTGTTCTTGCTATCATCCAAGTTAATGTTGCAATGATCCATCATCCACTCTTCATGCAATCCAGGGTCTGATTTGCATAGCTTTTAACTCAATTCACTTTCCAGTCTTTGCATATGTATGTTGCGTTATGTTAGCTTTTCCAGCATTTAGTAGCTAATAATCTCACCCAAGCTTTCTTGAACTGAAGAAAAGGTGATGTAGTTCCTTGGAAAACAGAAATACATTTGGACTGGGGAAAGGAATCCACAAGGGAAGGGGTACTTTTTAAACTAACTTTGTTGCATTCAACTGAAAAAGGGATTGAATTAAGAAGGGGAAACAGGTTATCATTCCTCATTGAAGAATACATCCATTTCAGGGTATCCAGTTGGGAATTGGAACTCCCGGGGGACACTCTCTGGATTAGTAATCTAGAGCTCCAGGTTAATGGTCTGGGAACATGGGTTCAAATCCCAACCAGGCAGATGGTGAAATTTGAATTCTAAAAACGTACAATTAAAAAGCAAGTTTAATATCAACCATGCAATCACTAACTATTACTGTAAAAACACATCTGATTCACTAATGTCCTTCAGGGAAAAAAAATCTACAGTTGCCTGATCTAACCTACACGTGACTCCAGACCTATAGGAATCTGGTTGACTCTTAACTGCCCTCTGCCAAGTAAGCCATTCAGTTCAAGGGCAATTAGGGGCAGGTAACAAATGCTGTTCCTGCCAGTGATGCCTACATTCATCCTGTGAAAGTATTTTAACAAATGGAAACCATCTCCAGAAACCTCCACAAACTAATCAGTGAGGAATGTAAAAACTCCACACACTTCCCAACAAGAACACATTTAGAGGATCAGATTGCAACAGGCACCAGGAAGGCATCACTAGGGTCAAGGACTAAGTTCTCTTCCATCTGACACCAGGGACTCATTCAACGTTGTAAGTCATTTGTGAGCACCATATGCAGGGGCCTCTGAATCTACTCGAGGTGAGGCTTGTAGAACAGTAGGAGGACATCTCCATCTCAGACTACAAAACAGAGACCCCCGCAGTGACTTATGGCAGCCCAAAAACATGTGAAAATCTACGATAAAACAGGGAGACAAATTTGCTAGGGCCTGAACATTTCAGCTAGGAGCCCGCGTTTTGTGCTTCTGCCAATCCAGGTGAACCCTCAACAGCCCAGTTCAATGTCCTGCACACGGTGGCAAAGCTGCTCAGGACAGTGAACCGTTCCACTGAGACCCCAGACAGTGGCAAAAACAAAAGGCTACATCATGCCAACTTGATAAAGCAAAACCACCATCAAGAAGGGGACAAACAGGTACCAGTCTGTCCTCCTGCCACTGTTTTCGAGGATGAGCGTAGCCCCAGGGATTAACTGAAAGGAGCCATAGGTGAGACCCACATTGATATTAACCAAACGTAGATGCCTTACCCATCTAAGTGCATTAGAGACTTGAGGAAGCATTTAAAACATTGAAGCAGAGAAATGCCAAGCTGCAGCACCCCAGTTCCACATCATGTGGATGTGATCGAGGTCTCTCCCATGAGGCAGCATCCCTATTACACCCAGTGAAACTGGTCCAGATTCCACAGGCAATTAAATACATGTTGGAAAACCAACTGAGAGAGATTAGCAGCAGTAGCTGGACCCTGCCCCGCACCCCACCCCACCTCCCCAGTTAAGCTCAGTGCCCAAGTTGGACATCTCCACTACGGTTATTTTTATTCATTCACGGGATGTGGGCGTCAATGGCTGGGCCAGCATTCATTGCCTATCCCTAAATTTCCAGAGGGTGGTTAAGAGTTAACTGCATTGCTGTGGGTCTGGAGTCACATGTAGGCCAGGCCAGGTAAGGATGGTAGTTTTCCTAAAGGACAGTAGTGAACCAGATGGGTATTTCCCTGACAATCATTATTAGACTTTTAATTACAAATTTTTATTGGGTGAAATTCCAAAAATTAGAATTTAATTAAAATTGGAGTTCCTAGAATACTACCTGGATTAACTGTCTGGCAATGATCATAGAATCCCTACAGTGTGGAAACAGGCCCTTTGGCCCAACAAGTCCACACTGACCCTCAGAGCATCCCACCCAGACCCATCCCCCATAACCTACCTAATCTGCACATCCCTGAACACTGTGGGTAATTTATTTTGGCCAATCCACCTAGCCTGCACATCTTTGGATTGTGGGAGAAAACACCCAGAGGAAACCCACGTAGACACGGGGAGAATGTGCAAACTCCACACAGACAGTTGCCCGAAGGTGGAATCAAACCCAGCTCCCGTGCGCTGTGAGGCAGCAGTGCTACCTACTGAGCCACCGTGCCATACCACTGGACCATTGCATCTACCTACTGAAAAGTCAATGTAGTGTCCACAGCTGATTCCTACCCAATACCTGAGCTGGAATACTGCATGGATAGCATAATTAAAGTATCCTATATCATGAAGATAAAGGTACTCAAGGGATACTGGCAGGTCCCTAATTGCCTATGCCATCCCTTCTTTTGGTACTGTGTTCACTATTTCTGGTCTGTCCCACAAGTGGAAACATCCTTTCAGCAATCAACCTGTTAAGTCCCCGAGAGTTGTTATAAGCATCAATAAAATTGTCTCTCATTCTTCTAAACTCCAAACCTGAGAAATGAAACTAAAACCCAGAGGCTACAGGAAAGATTATTTTGGGCGGACATGTTCAAACCAGTGGAGTTGGAAGAAATGCTTTCAGACAAATTTTTGCTGCAAATTGACAGGTATTATACCTGACTTGAAAATGCTGGATGCAGGCGCTGACCAACAAAAGTAGCCAGTTGTTTAACATGGTCCATCCTTCTGTTTAATGAGCTGATCATCCCCTACCCTTTATCATGCAGGTGAAAATCCTTTGGGAAATGAACAGGTTTTTTCAGTCAGTAAAGTTGTAAATAGAGCATTTATTAAAATTTTTTTCATCTAATTCATTTCTTTAAAAATCAGTATTCCAACAATCACTAAATCAATCTGCACAGTGATTTTATTCAAACGGCAAGTCAAATACACTGTAAATAACCTGACTGGCATATTACAGCTCAATCCAAATAAATCCATGAAGAATTATATCAGGATGTCCAACTCATTTAAGACAGAAAATAAAACAGTTATATTTCTGTGCACTTGACTCTTCAAATTCTGCACCAAAGATCAATTTAAATACTTTGTCATGTAAAATGCAAGTTATGTGGTAGGTAAATAAATAGATTTTTACATCTATATGGTGTCTAACCGCATGAAGATCTCTCAAAGCACAAATCACACAAGATTATGCAAAGTACAACTGTGAAGATGTACCAGCCCACCTCCATGACATAAGGCTGTTATATTTTTTTAAGGCATTAGTTGAGGGATGAATTCTGACCAGGGCTTGGAAATATCTCCTCTTCAAAATGTGTCAGAGGGGTCATTAATGTCCACCTGGTCTACCAGAATGGGCAGCTCAGCCCTCAGCTCTCCAACTCACTGGAAGGGTGAATATACATGAAAGACCAGCACACTGAATATTCTATGTCTTGGCTCTGCGCCTGTGCCACTATAATGTGGTACTGCCAGAGAGAATGGCAACAAATATCTCTTCAGACCTTGGAGTCAGAGCTCAGCAGCAACACTTTCCAGCAATCTTGTATTAGGATCTCACACAGAATTAGAGTGTGGAAAATGCTGGTCCAGCACAGAAGGTCTAAACAATTTGCGGCACAAGATGAGGCTAAATACAAGTTGGATAATCTGTTCCCATACTTGCACTACTACGGCCATCAGAACTGTAAAAAGTACGGACTTGAAACAACAACCCAATGATACCTCAGAAAATGCTTTGAGTAAAGCATTACTAAACTTTTGGACTGGTGCACAAGATACTCATTGAGGCCGGTGAAATGAAACATTGGAAAGGAATTACCTCTTGAGCTTTTTTGGCTTCAATGATCATGTAGACACTGTATGCAAGTACGGTACCATAAGGAAGCCTAATTAATAGAAGTAGGAAGTGAGTTTTTGGCAAATTAGTTAATTTCTTGAGTGACTATGAATACTGTGAGAATGGATAATCATTTTATCTATTGGGAGCTGGAAATCCTGGAAAATGATAGATACTAGTCTTGTCCAGCTGAGTTTCACTGCTTGATAGTATCAGTATGACTCATTTAATATATTGAAAAGTCTTTGCTGGGATGAATAATGCATTAATTAGCAATCAACTGTCAGTTTACATTAAATAGAACAGTGTACCTTATTTTGCTATTGCCTTCCAATATTATATGACAATAGGCAACCCAGCTGATTTGGAACTAAATGATTGATGCTCCACCTGAGCTATTGGGTTAGCAAAAATTTCTAAATGTCACAAAAACTATCTCTGGTTTGCCTACCTGAGGATATTGTGTTAGGAAGACAATGATTGTATAAAAGAAGTCAGTCAATCATTCGAATTCAGTATTGTACAAGGCACTTTAATGATCAATGGAAAACCAAAGAGTGGCCTCAATCTCTGTAGGCCAGCTCCAGACATCCTGTTTCCTTAATGTCAGGGTTGTGAAAAACGCTGCTTCACTCAAACTGATTCTCCTCCAATTTCTTCGGACATTTGGTGCATGCAGCAGCTGAACACCCTTCTCCCCAGTTGCTGCATCTTTTAGTTTGTTTCCCCATTGGGGCATTTAAGTGCAAGATTTCTGAAGAACCACATGAGACTGAAGAGACTCTGTGTACTTAATGCAGTGAGACAGCTACAGTCTCCTCCAAACAGCTAAATAAACCTAAACGGATATCAGAATTACACCTTCTGAGATGTATGGAATCCTGTAAACATAATGACTTTGGTGTTCCAGGAACTGCAAAGTTCATCATCTTTTGAAATTGACTGCAGCCTCCATGATTTTTACCTACGAGTCTGAAGCAGAGCCTCTCTTCTCCAAGTATCGTCAAAAATAAGGTCCGACCCAACGACTGATGTGAGGATCGACTAAGAGGTTAATAAAGCCTGAAGCTGTAAGTGACTGACATTTCTGCAATTCACAGCGATGTGCAGAATGACTGAGGCTCATTCATGAGGGCTGTACGTGGCTGGGTTAAGTTAGCAAGGCCAAAATCTAGCACTTACAGCACATTGTTGAACCAATTGGGAAGATTATAGGATAAGGAGAAGGAACAAGATCTTACCTCTGCTAAGGACCATACTGAATTTTGTGCACCTAATTTATTCAACCTTTTCAGACCCTCATCTGCCTAATCTTATTAGACAATACAAAGCTAAATAAAGGGCTGGATTTGACTGCAGGCTTTTGGACCCTGATAGCAGGTCCATGTGGAGTCTGAACCCAACATGCGAGTGCAAAACCCAGTGGTGCAATCTTCCTGGATGTGCCCTCAGAGATGTAGAAACACAAATCAAGAGGTCCAGAGGTAATCTTGTATATCAGAACAGAAGGGAAGCTCTTCTGCAAGTAGCGGTTTGGGCTGAGAGAGTAGCCTTGCCTGCTCACGGCCCTGTCGCTGGAGCATGAGGTCCCCTGCTCCAACAGCAGCCCATAGCTCCACTGAGCTCATCATCATTTGTCAGATACTTTAGAGACTTTTAAATGACTCTTCGCTAGGCGCATGGATGATAGTATAATGTAGGGTATGCAGGGTAGTTTGATCTTAGTAGGATAATAGGTCGGCACAACATTGCGGGCCGAAGGGCCTGTACTGTGCTGTACTGTTCTATGTTCTATCTCAGCATGCATTCCAGATCTAACCACTCACTGTGTAAGAATGTTTTTTTTTCTTCATATTGCCTTCGGTTCTTTAACCAATCATTCCAATTTGATGTCCTCTGGATCTTGATTCTTCTGCTAACAGAAACAGTTTCTCCCTATCTACTCTCTGTCCAGATGCCATATGATTTGGGACACCTCTATCAAAGTACCCCTCAACCTTCCAGGCGAACAGTCCCACCTCCTCCAAATGAAGTCCTTCACCTTTGTAACAATTCTTGTAAATCTCTTCTTAATCCTCTCCAACACCTTCACATCCTTCCTAAAGCATGGTGGCTGTTAATTGAGGCTGAAGCAGTTTTTAAATAAAAGTTTCACCACAACTTTCTTATTTTTGAGCTGTATGGATAATCTCTGAAGAGAAGGCACTTGTTGGAGGAGAGGTGAGCATTACTGAGTTGAAGCACAGCATGGCTATGGAGAACATACCAGCCACTTGTGTTTGTGTAGTAGTCTAGGACACGAGTCAGCTACATGAGGGAACTGTCTTATCAAAGCTTTCTCCCCATTTTCGAGGCCCCACATGCTTCCAAGGCTGTCTCCACAACATCATGAAAATCAGGCTGATAGTATGCCCGTCTGCTCCCACCATCGCATTCATTTTTGCTTCAAAAATGGCAACCAAACCCTTTCATTTTTGAAGGGTTCGAAAGAGAGGACAGAAGTACATTTGTGAGGTGTTACCCCAATGAATTGCAATATTGTTGTTAGAGAAAAAAACCCAAAAGAACTGCAGATGCTCGAAATCTGAAACAAAAACAGAAACTCCTGGAAAATCTCAGCAGGTCTGGCAGCATCTGTGGAAAGAAATCAGGGTAAACGTTTCGGGTCACGTGACCCATCCTCAGAACAAGGAACGTTAACTCTAATTTCTCTCCACAAATGCTGCCAGACCTGCTGAGATTTTCTAGCAATTTCTGTTTGTGTTAAATTAGAGCTCTAACAAATAACTTCCTCTGTGGGCTTCTGACATATAAACAAGAGTGGGGCATTTGGAAATGTTCCTAGGCTGACACTCCTATAGTCAGTTGTGGTTCTGCCTGAGCAAAACTTTCATTTACTTGAAGAGTTTTAGAAATTTCTTTGTTTTAGTAAAACCGAATGCTTTAAAGCAAACAGGATAACAGCAGAGGAATGGAGGGTACCTCTTTCGCACAAGGCTGGCAGATGTCCCAGTTTGCTGCTTCATTGAGGGAAAGTGTCAAAATAATGGCCCTCCTCACAAAAAGGAGCAAATACAGAGAGAGATAAGGGGCATCATTCTGTTCTTCCAGCCTCGAACCTCAGCCCAGTTCCTTATGTTATCTTCAATGAACAAGATAGATCTAATGCTGCAGAACAGACCCTTCTAACAGATTATCTCTGCTTTTAAATTGCTCTAAGGGATCATTTTTAAAGATACGTTGAATGTCTGAAACCAAGAACCTCTGGCCATTACTGAGCTAACATGCTCTTCCATGAACTGCACAGGATGGAACTAATGCAAATGGAGGGTTTTACAGCCTTTAGAAAAAATATTCATTCATGGAATGTGGGAGTCGCTGGCTGAGACAGCAATTATTGCCCATCACTGATAATCCCTAATAAACTGACTTGTACTCTTTCCAATATTAATGACAGCACACACTTTTGGTGTTGGTAAATACAAAGAAAATAAATTGAAAAGACCGTTTTTAAAGGAAAGTGGAGTGCCTGCTGCTATCTCACACATAATGGATGGGAACACATTTCAGTAAATGCTCTCAGCCGCCCTGCTCAGTACAAGGTAAATTTGACATCCACTAAAGCTGCTGGAAAAGCACACAATGTCATTCGGACTTTATGGCCTAATACTTGTCTTTTTCTGCAGGAGACTTTCTTCCATTAGTAGCCCTGCTGAGCTCTCGTCCTTGGCTTGCATCTCCCTTTCTGGAAGGCAGATTTCTGCATCTGCTGCTGTTGTCTGCTGCTGCAAAGAAAATTACAACACAACTAAGTGATATTCCTGCAGAAAGGAGTTAAAGACACTGATATCCTTCACCCTCCACTTAACAATGCAGTCTTTGAGCTGTATTCTGGAGGAGCAGGAATGTTATAGTCATCCTGTATGTACCACTCAGTGTACTAGAGAGTCTGGAAACACCCTTTAAGATGTGCATAACTGTATAGCAATATGATCAAAGAGTGTCATACTCATTAAATTGTTAATTGTAAAGTTATGGGGGAGAGGTTAACATTCAATTAATTAATAAATCTGGAATTAAATGCTATTAAATGCTGGAATTAAATTTAATATGATCACAAAATGGCTGCACCTGTGTTAAAAATCCATGTGGTTCACTCAAACTCTTCACAAGAGGAAATCTGCCATTGATTCCTCGCGGGGCCAACAAGCAAATTCAGAGCCCTCATAAAGTGGTTGACTCTTAGCTGCCCTCTTGTAATTATCTCTTTGCCTCAATTAATCGGATCATAGGTTCAGCTATTCAGCTGTTGACATTTTAGTCACATTGTCCGACACTTTTGATCACCTGCAGAGACTTGTTTTTCAGCCCATTGACTCTTCCCTCACAACATTTGTACGATGTTTTGATCTCTCTGCCTATAAATTCGGTGCCTGTGTGCTTCTCTTCACTTCCGCTGATGACAGAGCAGCGCTCCAAAAGCTTGTGATTTCAAATAAACCTATTGGACTATAACCTGGTGTTGTGTGACTTCTGACCTTGCCTTCTGAAGTGGTGTAACAAGCCTACCCACAGTTGCTGCAGAATAAAACACTGTGGATATTGCTACGCCATCCAGCAGTGCAGCAATTCAAGAAGCAGCTCACCTTCTCAAGGGCAAAAGGGATGCATATTAAATGCTGGCCTTGCTGAGACACTCTCACGCCAGGAATGGCAAATATCAGGTTATGTACAGGACAATCTTTTGATCTTTTCATGAGTCCTTGTCTCTCAGAGCTACAGGCTTGTTGTGACGATTTAAAAGAAAAATTATTCATTCACAGGATCAGGGGCGTCACTGGCCAGGCCAGCATTTGTTGCCCATCCCTAATTCTCCAGAGGGCACTTCAAAGTCAACCACATTTGCTGTGGGTCTGGACTCACATGTAGGCCAGGCCAGGTAAGGATAGCAGTTTCCTTCCCTAAAGGATAATTAGTGAACCACATGGGTTTTTGCAAACAATCAGCTCAATCCTAAATCCAGAATTTTATCAAATTCAAATTCCATCATCTGCCACGGAAGGATTTGAACCTTGTCCCCAGAACATTACCTGGGTCTCTGGATCAACAATCCAGTGATAATACAACTAGGCCATCACCTCCCCTGGCTTTAAGAGGTGTATTTTTTTTAAATGAAGAAGGCTTGAGACAGAGGTTTGAAGCAGTCTACTCAAAGCCAATACAGTGAACAATTTGAGAGGCCTTGGGTTTTTTTCCAAAAATTGGAACAATAGAAGCAGCCTTTTTGGGTGGGGTCAAGTACCTACAGAACCAGGATTTTTAGTTTTAGCTTTCCACAGTTGCTGATGTCTTGGAGCTGGATGTGGAAGCTGTTATTCCTGTCTTTGTTACAGCTAAAAGGTGAGGCTTTCTCTCTGCTGCAGAACTGCATGTGAGACAATCTATTTTACTGAGTTTGCCCTTGCCAACGGTGTGTTTATGGGATGTTACTGTATTGGAACAGCTAATTAGAAGCAGTTAAAATATATATTATTTTGTTAAGCATTTTGATAGAGTTACAGTAAAGCCAATTCTTTTCTTTTATTTTGTATTTTAACAATAGTATAAAAATAAAGTGTGTTTTGCTGGAAGTCAAGTAGTTTGACCAATAGAATTGCATCTGGAATGTAACATCTTACACTTACCTTTAAAGTAAGAAAAAGTTAGGGTCTAGGCCATCTTCTTAATATATTTTGAAAGGGTTTGGTCTGGTCCATAACATATTGGGGTCTCTTGTTGGGATCAAAATCTCTAATGCCAGGTTGGGTTTAGGATTACTGGACTCAAAGGTATTGAGTGACAAGCGTTGATATTTTTTATTCCGGGTGTTAAATTCAGTTCATTTAAACAGGGTATGCCTTGTACAGCAATGGTTCTTTCAGTCGCTAAGAGTTGGGGGTGGGTGACCTTTGTTTTCACATCCCATGGGACCATCCCTCTATGTCCAATGAAATGGCCCAGGAGCACGACTTGGGCTTTTGTGAACTCACTCTTAGCCAGGTTTATCACCAAGCCCGCCTACTGAAGACAACTGAACAGTTCCAATAGATGCTCCAAATATTCTTTCCATGTGAGACTAAAAATGACTAGATTGTCAATATTCACCACATAATTGGGTAATCCCAAAGTGACTTTATTGGTTAATCTTTGAAATGTGTCTGGCACATTTTTCACACCAATGGCATGACATTAAACTGGTACAGTCCATTCAGCACCGCAAAAGCCGAAATTGCCTTCGCTCTTTCGGATAAAGGTATCCTCTGACTGAGTCCAACTTAGAAATATAAGTTGCTTGTCCCACCTTCTCACTACCGTCTTCCAAATGTGGATTTGGATATGAATCAGATTTTGTAAATGCATTGGCTTGGCAAGAGTCCATACATAATCGTTGAGTACCATCTAGTTTTGGTACCATTACTAGGGGTGAGCTCCAATCATTGCAACTCACTTCAATTATATTGCCTTTGTGCATGCGTTCAATCTCTGTTTGAACCTGTGCTGACTTCAGAGGGTTAAATTGATAAGGATGTTCCTTAATTGGAACAGCATTTCCTATATCTACATCATGCATATTAGATTAGCACTTCCCAGTTTATTCCCACATATCTCCCATGAGATTGTAGTTACTCTTTCACATCATTTCGATTTTCTTCCGGAAGGTAACTCAATAATTCCTCACTGTCCACCTTAATTTGAGGAATGTCCAATTCAGAATCACCTGAACTTCGTTCTTCACTCTGTGTCACAACCAGTAACATATTTTCCTGTTGCTTTCCTTCCCTATCAAAATATCTTTTGAGCATATTCACATGACACGCTCTGTGAGATTTCTTTCTATCTGGCGTTCTTATCAAATAATTCACCTCACTCAATCTCGTTTCGATCTGTTAAGGCCCACTAAACCTTGTCGTTAAAAGTTCATCTACCACTGGGAAGAACGCTGACACTTTACCTCTGCTAGCAAAATTACAAATTTTTGATCTCTACTCTACTTTTTATTTCATCACAAGTTGTGGTACTTTCAAATGCTGTCTAGCCAACTCACTTGCTCTATTTAATCTTTCCGTAAAATTTGACAAGAGTGGTCTCTGGACTTGTAGCTCGTAACTGAGTAGCTCTTCTACAATCCTTTTAGCCGTGATACTGTGTAATGGAATGGAAATCTGGTGGACACATCATTATGGTCTTTAAGACTCTTATAAAATGTTCCTCGTATGCGAGATATTAAGGGTGCTGGTTTTATCACTCACTGCCTGAGGTTTTCCAATTACCTGAGACATATGACATGGCCAGCAAAAGTCAACCACATTGTCACACAGTCCAGGCCAATAAAAATGTTCAATTTTGGCTTGAGTTTTCCTTACTCCCAAATGACCTCCTATTGGTAATTCATTTGTTACCCACGACACCCTCTTTCTATAACCCACCAGTGATGCTACTTAATGAACTTCTGCTCATTTTTCATCCTCCTGGATATGTGATGGTCTCCATTTCCTCATCAAGACTTCATTTGTAAACTAATAACATTCTGGGATACACTCAGATTCTTCTATGATTGCTTTTTGATACAACTGCTTCAGTTTTTCCTCTTTGTTGTAATTCAGCGAATTTCTCTAAAACAAAAATATCCATTTTGTCCTCAACCTGTACTTGTTCTTTTTTTTCTCAACCATTTGATCAAACATAGTCTCTGATAACTGAACTCAACTTCTTTATCTTTATTCTTTGATTTCTCCTCCTGTTTCCACCTGTGGCTTTGTGACCTTGTAACCACACAGTCAGGAAAAACCCCTGGATATGTTACCTGTAACACCTTAGTTGCCTGATTTTCTACTGGCTTTTCAACCACAGCAGGCATCACATCCATCTGTGATTCAGCTATATCATTCCTCAGGATAAACTGTAGTTCCGGAACCAAGAATTTCTCTATTATTCCTACCACCACTTCACCACTTTTCACCAGACTCTCTAACCTCACCTTACATAATGGAACACTGCTCTTCTCATCATAAATTCCACATATTACCACCTTTTTTGGCAATGCTCCTTCCAAATTACATATCTCCTCACCTCTCACCATTAAAAGACTGGTTTGTTCCCTGTAGTGATTGGATCAGGTGGATTTCATTGAACACAAGATCCTTGGTTGGTGTTAACCTGAGCCAGTGTGGAAGCCCTGGCTGACCAATATAAACAGCGGATTTAGAATCTCCTCAGTTCAAGGGATGGTCTCTGAGCCGGCTGGCCACAGCCAGTGTACTGTGCACTAGTAAATAAAGGGTGATTTGGTGATGGGACAGCAGCCTCTGTGCAGTTATTTCACTTCTTTATCTCTTAAAATCTTAATTTCTTTACCTAGTCCTCTTGGCATATACAAGTAAACCTTACCCTCGCAACTAAATTCTTTAACGAAATCTGGCACTTTTTTTCTCAACCTACCCCTGACCAGCTTGTACATTCTGTTGCAGCCTTTTAGCTTTCACTGTGCTTTCCTTAATCACCTTCAGCAAAAGTCACTTTCCCTCTTCCACTTTCTCTAAACCACCAACACTAACTACATGTGGTCTACTTTATTGCAGTGAAAACACCTGAGCTTTTAAACTTCTCTTTTCCCCCTCATGGGTTTCCTTTTTACCCTGTGGTCAACTATCTTTACTATCTTCAAGGAGATCTTCGTTTCCCTTACCACCTGAGGATTTCCCTTTTCCAATTTCTGTCCCTCACAGATTGAAATTGATGTCAGAAG